GAAATACAAGAAGGTTTTATTTTTGTACCAGCGCCGAATAGCAGATTGGCACTACTTCCGCGTGTTCCACATAGCACCACTCAGTGAATAGACATACGCCATGATGAGAAATACCAATGGGCAAAGTGGTTTAACCCAACACCCTCAAGACTACAAGGTTTCGTTTGACTCACTTTCACGTGGCTAGTGTTACTATAGGTGCAGCCAACACCTGCCGTACAGACAATAGCATAGAGGCTTTTGCGTGCCGTCTTCGCGCTCGCGATGGTCAAGAGTTATATGCAACATCTGTGCACCGGGCCCCAGTGCATAGACCAGGGTTTCAGCAAAAATGTGTTGCATCTTTTAATCAAAATATGCCGGAGGAAAAATGTCTGGTGATCGAATGCTTGGTAGTCTGTAGGAAATCCTGTCACTGCGTTGATATGGCTTATTGTACAGCATTCTATAGAAGCGGCAGCGGGGCTTAACATTCATGAACCATGGACAAGTGCAGACAGAAAACATGTACTCCCAAGTGCGAACTTAGTTTGAAAAATGTTAAAGCGATTTCCTTTTTCTTGGCACATCATTCAGGAGTATCAATTCCAGAAGTCATGCACGGCGAATAATGTAGTATTTTAACCCAAATATATGCGACTAACAACCACCTCATACCTCAGCTATATATTGAAAATATACTAGAATTACAAGACTTTCAAAGAAAACAAGCTATCGCATACACTGCACGCCTTTTTTAGTAGATGCACGTTACGTGCGTCATTGTGACCACTTCCATTTCCCTCTAGGAGTGAAACTGTGCGTCCTTGTGTGCGTGTGTCTGTAGAAGATGTTAAGATCGGCCTCTCTGGCTCGGCGCCACTTGGACGCGGGAGCCGATTGCAGCTAAGCCTACCCTGATTTGTTCCGGGTCAATGCTCTCGAGGTGCGCCAAGACGGTCATACTTCAAATTCTTCAACACAAAACGACAGTAATACTTCGAATTCTTTAGGGCTGTTCGCTCCCCTCGTCAAAAACTCTTTGGAGACGCCTGACTGACTGACGGCCTAGGAAGAGCTGTTTGAAATCGAGGCTGCTTGATTTGTTTGACGTGCCAAAAGACGCGCTGAACAATTAGCCGAGAGCTTGAGATCCGTCATCGGGTATGTTTCCCACACTCTGTGGTGCTTTCAAAGCTTCCTTTCCCAGAGCCCGTAGCCTGCCTAGCGCTGCAGACCCTATTCTGCACGTGCGATGCAATGTTATTGCACTCTGCTGTGACCTACGTTGTGCTTCTCCCTCGCCATGTGACGAACTGAACGTGCACACTCTCCCTTTCCTGTGTTGAAAAGAAGGCAGTGTTTGAATTTCTCTCTCTTTCTCACTCTTTCGGTTTTTTTATCCTTATAGGCTGCGCGGTGCTCCCTGCTGGGCTGCAGAAATCAGGCGCCTTCTTCTAACCACTACCCCCCCCCCCCCCTTTGTGGGACGGGGATGAAGACGACAATTTCTTTAGACTGCCCTCGGCACTGCGCCCTGCTCCCGACCATAATGCAGAAATTAGGTGCCTTTCTCCTCTTCTAACCCCCCCTCCCCCCTGTCCTGGACTGAATGGGCATGCAGTCTGTCAGTTTTCAGTAATCTGCAAGGCTGCTTTCCTGTAAGACTTGTTTTCGATCCAAAAACTCTCGTTCACAGACTACTTTTCTCCCTCATTGTGCCTTTACTTCTCCGAATTCCTGCGAATGCACGCGAGCACGCGAGTACAACAAAATGTCACCGCTCCAAATTCCAGCGAAGGCAAGCCAGCACAGCAAGATCTCAAAAAAGGGAATGGCAGAAACAAAATGAGCAAAAAAACTAGTGTGTGAACGAGTGATTTTGGTTGAAAAACTAACCTTACAGAAAATCTGCCTTGCAGATTATTGCAAACGGTCCATTGTTTTCTCCTGCAGAAAATTTTAGGAAGACCAGAGCTTAAAACGCGAGCACCTAGACGCTCTGAACGAGCTCTCAGAAGCTCCCATCAAGCTTCCGTGATGCTACCATTAACATATAGTGTAACGCTACCTTTAGTGTGTAAATAGTGTATATAAACGTTCCTCTTATCAGCCCCGGCTACTCTGCTCGAATTCTACCCGAGAGTTGGCTAGCTGCTTCGAATACATCACGAGCAAGCAAAAGGGCACGGAGTTTAACAGGCGAAAATGTGCGACATCACATCGCTTTATTACGTGGCATATTCGTTCTCCGCTGAATTCGCCCACTCGTGCTTGCCAATAACGCTCCAGTTTTTATAGCGACGACACACCGTTGATTGCGGTCATGTCATTGAATATCAATTAAACAGCGGTTGCATTATTTATTTACAAAATACTTCACCATAACGTGTGGTGATGTAATTCATTACTTGGCCACCTGAGGAGCTTTCTAACTTGACTTACTTTTTTTATAAAAACCTGAATATAATGTTAAGATGTGTTTGGTTTATTCTGAGCCTTACCTTCGCAACAAAAGTACATCACCACTGTCCGCGACAATTATTCTTCATCTCTCCCAGTGCCAGTAGGTCCGTTCAAGTGACGTGATGAAAACCTGTTTGCTGGACTATGTTATATATATGACATGTCGCTCAAGTGTCTGTCTCGTATTAATTGACGAATACAGCCGTCTTTTCTAAACTTTCTACTGGCAAGTTTTTATTTTATTCCTTTTTAAACTGGTGGTCTCAGACAAGCTTATTATGCCTCTGCTCACCACTAGATAGATGTTACGCGCGGCGCCTGGCCCGACGGGGGAGAGCCGCGTTCTTTGTTCATCAAACAAGTCACCGAATGGCTGCCAGCCTGCTGTCCGCCGTGTATTTTCCTTCTTAGCCGGGAAGTGAGGTTGCATTCCGACACCATTAAACGTTCGACTAGACGACCACAATGGTTTCTTGCTGTCACAGATGCAGTGTGGTGGCCACGCCCCAATCAAATATCTTGACTTGAGCGAGTGTGAGCGGCACCGTCAGAAATGGTGTGTGTGTCCGGTGATTCAACAGCGCATTCTGGACCCATTCCCTGATTTAGTCAAAACGCACACTTTATAATGAGCCACCCAGCTCATTCACAAGAAATCTCTCGCCCTGTCTGTACAGAATGTAATAAATACTCTGTTAAGTTTGCCATCCTACTCCTGAGTGCACATGCGTTTTCTTTTCTCTCTCTCTCTACACCCCCTTTCTTGCCCCTATTTCCTCATCCCCAGCGTGGGGCAGAACACCGGATGCCAAGATATGGTTAATCCCCCAGCCTTGTTTGTCTTTCTCTTTTTTGCCATCTTACTGCCTTGGCATCTTCATCCCGGATATCTGACGACTGGAAAGGCCGATACCAACAGAGGTTAAAGAATAAGACATAATGGTGAATATTTTCTGCAGCATGTTCAGACGCTGCACATGAGTGATTATCCTTGAAAATTATTAACTTTAACACCGCGGACAGGTGATGATATACCCTGAGTAGGTTCAAGCATTTATTATGCCTCGACGCTTTTAATCTTCATTAAACTTCTCCCTTTCGATTTCATCCTTAGGGGCTTTGTGTAGTTCTTCATCTAACGTGCTGCATTCGTGCTGCACTGCTAGAACTTAATTTCTTCTGTATATAAGCCTTGTTTCGGGCCCGAACATAGGCTGCCATTTAGGACTGATAATGATGCAGTTTTGCATCCGTATGAATATTCGAATAGTGCTACGGGGAACTCGCACGCATCAAAACGCTGGGCCAGTACATTCAACGTCGTATTACCATAATAATTGCTAATTACGGCATAGAAAACCAGCAAAAATTGATTTTAAGCCTAAGATGGCAGCGTCTATGCTTTATTGTAATTGTTACATTTATTTTTGTCAATTGTCCAATATGTCATTTCATGCAGCCGCAGCCGAACTTGTGCCGCTGTTCATAGTGGTATTCTCGGTCTCTGAAGCTGGGTGAAGATAACTAAGAAGCCTGGTTTTTGCTGGCTACATAAAATGTGAGACGAAGCTATTAATCAAAATGAAAAAGAAAAGACAAATCTGTGAAAAGTCAGTACTGGCGCATAAATGGCGCGCCGATGAAAAACGTCGGCGGCGGCGGCGGCGGCGGCGCGCCGATCAGTTCGCGTCGGCGGCGCGGCGAAAACTTTCGGCGGCGGCGCGCCGACCAGTCGGCGCACATCTCCAGTCAGGCCTGCTTTTGGCTCCGTGTGTGTTCGTGTGGCTTGGAGTCGTTTTCTCACGAATCAAAATGCAGCAAATGTTCAGCAGTTGCGCTTCACCACCTTTTTCTTTTAAACTTACCTCTGGTAAGTCTAAAAGAAGAATGGAGGTTATTGTAATACCCATCATTCCCATGCTCGCTGAAGCGCCGTCATGCAGGAAGAAAAACTTCCTCCATGAGCGCCATGCATTGCAGCTCCCATAGACACTAGCGCCAGAGTTTTCTCTAGTGTATATTAGACAACTCTATGGCTGACACCGCCTTTTCTGGCCACCATGTCATAGGTAATAGCATAGCCTCCTAGATTAGACGCTGCCTTATAATCTCTTACCTGCTGGATAATCGGCGGTCACTTAAAAATCGGCCGTCGTCGGAACTATGGTGATGGCGCTACCTAAGTAGGAATATCTTCAAATCAATTTTTTTACGTTTTTGGTGCTTATATGCAACAAGAATAGCGTAAAAAGTTTTAAAAAGGTGTAAACGCAATTATAATTAATTCTACGTAAGTGACGCCGTCATTCAACGCACTACTTTTTCAAAAAAAGGTTCAGCCTCTAAAATTAGTAACAAACGTCATACTTGCCGATCTTAAAGGCCAAACACAAAGACCCTTATCCGTACGTAGGCAGCGCTTCCATAGATGACGGTCGTTTCGCGCTCATCCGGCAGGCAAAAGAAATCTAGGCGGCTATGGTAATAATTGACCACCAAACGTCACTGGTAGGTGTTGTCTGACGTCACCAAAGTGGTTGGTGTTGTGTGACGTCTCTGCGTGTTGCGCATGTCAGTCGCGTGTTCATTCGGTCGTGGTTCATTCGGCTCATTCGCGCTAGACGGAGGCACACTGCCAAGGAACGGCACCTTTGTAACTATGGCGGCGGAAGACAAATATTCAGAGGTATGTCAATCCTATTTTTACCGCGTTTTGTGCCTGTGACTATCGCAAACGTCCCCGGGGGAGAAATGTTCATATTTACGACCATTTAGCTCCTGTTTGACATTAAAGGGTGTCGGCTAGGGCTCCCACATTTCTTGCCACCAATATGGTTTTGGTCGTCGCTGCTCCGGATTTCATGAAAAGGCTTAAGAACTGTGAGCTAGCGTTTCCTCGTTGTGTTGCCCGATTTCGGTGTTATCAGCCTTTAGTTAAATAACATACGCTTCCTACACTCCTGTACATCCTTGAGGCGCCCTTTTTTTTTTTTTTTTTTGCAACTGTAGTACACACCGTGGAGTGCCCGTGCGCGGAGGCATGACCCGCGAACGTGTCGCATCACCAGCGTCACCGAGAGCGCCTTGTGGACGCGCTTTGCTGTCACATGGCGCCTCTTGACGTGTCCAAGTCTTGCCCCGCGACAGCCGCCTCTTTGAAACTATGCGTAATTTGCGCGTTTCTAGCTGAAGCCGGCGCTGCGGACGGGCGCTGCCATTCATGGCTGCGCGTCAACTCACCCTTCCTAACCTAAGATTGCAGCCTGCACTTGCTGGTGGTTGAGATTGCATTACGGGGTTTTCTGCCGAGAGCGGAGCGTGGCATTTTAACATAAACCCATTGATGCGTTGGTGTCGTGACACGCAGCTGCAAATTCATTCGTTCTATTGGACCGCATGGCAGCCTTTACTTGATTGTTATTCTGATGTGCACGTAGTGAAATGTAGCACGCGTTAATGCGTCGCGGCGTGGAAGAATGAGCGTGACGGAAAGCTACAAGAAGTTGGATCGTCACGGGGAATGAGGTTATCTGCTCCCACTTGTTTCTTTGTTGAGATTTGCAGCTTAGGCCTGCACAGGTGAAAAATTCACGTGTACCAGTCTACACGTTTTGTGCTCGTGATGAATGAAATGTGGCCCGTCACCTGCCAGCGATGGGAGTACTTTCAGAAACCAGCAATGCAGTGGACATCCGTGTGAGTGTCAGTGCGGTTTCAATAATTTCAATATTTGGCAGGTTTTCAGCCTTGACTATGCAAGCCGTTTATTGAGGTAAAGGTAAGGTCGTTGAAACTTTTTTTTTTAGTGCAGCTATGATGAACCTTCTTTTAATGAAATGGGGGGGGGGGGGGATATTCGTAGGTTTGTAAAGCAAATACATACCTACGAATATTTGTCTACCGATGCAAGTTGGCCTGATTCCGCGAAAATATACCGGTGCACCTTGCATCCACGACTATCTAATCTTTGTTCTTGGGGATACGTGACAAAACTTACACAATGTCTTAAACAACTCAGATTTTTTTATACTACTGTTTCACTATCAATAAAATTACCGTCCTGAAAATTTCAGGAGTTGTAAACTCTTATTTCCAGTTATGTTAAGAGGTCTGACAAGCAAGGAAGGTATACAAAACTTGCGAGCTGATTATGTTGTAGACTAGCCTTGCCGTATTTGCTTGACAGATGTTGCCTTGAGTGCGTCAGTCCTGATGTACAAAATAAACATAGATGTATGCTATGTACCATGCACATGAGTTAAAAATCTGCGCTTTACAGTCTATTAGCGTTACTAAGGGGCCAAACATTGAGAGAGCTGTTTAAGTAAAAGGTGGTAATTTTTACAAAATGCATGTTTTATAAGGAATTATACACAGCATGTCTGGCTGATTGTTATGTCAACTAAACATGACTCGTGGAAAGTTCTGTGTCTTGCATACTGCCTGATTTATGAGACAAGTTTAGGGAGAGGCTTTTGTAGAGCTATGCAGTACTCGAAATGCAGAAAAAGCGGCCTCAGTGTTTATCCTGAAACCATCTAAGGTCTGGCTTTGTCAGTCGCAATCAGTCTTAGTATGGAGTGCATTCTTCTAACAAATAATTCAAGTTGGTTGTGAAAAGATTGTTTTAGTTAACCGTATTGATGCAGTTGCAATTCTAAGCCGTGAGTTTTTTTGTACCAGCCAATGCTACAGGCCTAATATGCCAAGATATCATTATGTGCATTGGGTTGCTTCGTCGATGTGCAATCTGATATCATTTCAAAAACCTTTCTTGAAGCATCTTTCGGACATTGTAGGGACACTAAAGCAAAACATACTCTGCATCATTCTGAAACATCTGAACACTTTTATATGCAAGTTTAGGCTTTTCTCCTGTTATTAATAAAAGTCACGTTACAGTACATTTTGTCCGCTTTCTTTCTCCTTACTCTGGGAATGTGTTGGCGGGTCTGTTGCGTCGATGTGGTCAAGAGTGCCATGATGGTGCAACTCGCCATATTTTCAACTAATTCAATGTGCTCCACCAAGTTTTCAACTAATTCAACGTGCTCCGCCGAAGTGGACGTGGCCATTAGGTGGACTCACTGAGAATCATGCCCCTGGTATTACTGTAATTTGAGAATTTCAAGGTGATGTCGCCACCAACATTTTCTTTTAAACGAAAGTGTTTCATGTTGGGGTCCACCAAGACTTCGGTAACGTATCTGTCTCGGCTATGAGGTGATTAGATGGGCACTGTCTGGTGAGGAAAAAAAAAAAATTACCGAAAATGTTCGGCCTCTAGGAATCGAATGTACCTCTCAGCTCCTCACGCCAAGCACCCCATACACCACAAACGCACTTTATAACTCTCGCATCTCGCACTGGGCTCTCTGTTGGAGGAGTTCAACAGGGCGGTGGGGGGCCGCAGTCTTTAAGCTGTCGGGGAAAGTAATGTCCCACGGTATTCAGTAGCGCCAATCGAGAACGCATCGGCAAGGACTCAATTAGTTTGTCTTCCAGAGGCTGTTGTTTAGGCGTCTATTAAAGTAAAAACACTGGCCACGCTAGCATCGCGAGCCACCCTAGACACAGTTATGTTCTGTACATTTCGCTTTATGTTAGCGTGCGGCAGCTCATCAGAGTAGTACAGCTTCCACATGCAGCTACAGTGTTTTTACGCTGCCGACTGCTTCGAGTGCGATATTGCTAATAAAGCTGCTGTGGAAGTGCAGAAAGCAAACAACGTGCCTTGGGGAAGCTAGACAAAGACCAGCGGTATGGGACACATACCGACTGAGCGCATTCGCAGATCAAGCTACATGTTGCTGAAGTGCAGCGCCGTAGTGTGTGCGTAAGTGCAGGTGTGTATTTCTCTACTACTCAGGGAGCTCCACACTGTGCTGTTCATCTCTATAATACTGAACAAAAATTTGTAAACTTTGCAAAAATGCTAGAAATTGATTCTTGGTGGATAAGTTCGAGGAGAAGTCGCCACTTATTGAAATTTTCAATGGCTGGTCTTATTTTTTACGTTTTTGCAATTGTGTACCAGGCCACTCGGCCCATGCGAGTTCGAAGCCGTGACGCCATGACTCTCTCATTTGACAGTTAGCTGGCCACAGTCCTTGAAGCGTGCACACTGTCACATCACAACACAGTATGCATTTGTGTTGTGGTCTCTCTACCAGTGACAAATTCTTTGCCAAGCGATGAAGAGAAGCAGGAGGCCATAGAAAGGCTAGCTGGGCAGGATGGGCCACCGTGGTCCAATGTGCAGTGACAACAGTTGATAAATTAATGCTATGGAGGAAATGAAATGCCTTGTTTTGTCAGCTTTGGGGAGGCAGAAAGGCTGTTATCACATCTGAATCGTGCCATTGTAGTTCGTCATTTAGTGTGTAGCTATGTAGTCTGCATGGTGATCGTTGCACAGTTTCTTTGCACAAGAAGCACTGCATGTATGAAATTTGTAAGCAGTTATAGCTCCTGTGTATATGGCAGCTGCTGACACGTTCATGCTACTGCAAGCCATATACAGGTTGAATTAATCAAAATTGGTCAACTTCGCCACAACAGAGAACACAGAATATTCGCAAACAAGCCTGATTTGCCTGCATCCCGTGCATTTGCTGTTTTTTTTTTTTTTTGTCAAATGCAGCAAAGTGATGCGACAAAGTGTGTTCTGAGCTAGCAAACGCGGTCGGTTTCTAAACATGTTCAGGTTTGGCATGATGGCTGAGCAGCGCGTATCCAAATTTTACGCTGCTTGCGTCTCTAGGAAACTTATGCGACGGTGCATCATGACTCATGACCAATGATCTTATGAAAGCAATCAGCGCAGGAGTAGCTATAATCACTTGCAAGTTAGCTGCATTTCTTTCTCAAAGGCAGATGCCACACAAGCCTGCATTAATGGACGTGTACTCTAGACTGGCGTCATGAGCCGGATCGCCGTTGACTCCGCCTGCAGAAAATGTTGTCGAGAGAAACAGCGGGACTATTTCTTTATTCGCTGAGTTGATCAGCTGCAGTGCTCTGGTAGTCTGGGAGGGGCCTCCCCTCACTCTTCAGTTGGCCCTGCCGCGATGGTCTAGTGGCTAAGGTACTCGGCTGCTGACCCGAAGGTCGCGGGATCGATTGCGGCTGCGGCGACTGCATTTTCGATGGAGGCAGAAATGCTGAGGCCCGTGTGCTGAGATTTAGGTGCATGTTTAGAACTGCAGGTGGTCGAAATTTCCGGAGCCCTCCACTACAGCGTCTCTCATAATCATTTGGTGGTTTCGGGACGTTAAACCCCACATATCGATCAAATCAGTCTTCAGTTGTATCAGACTATAGCCGCTTTCTTCCGCCACCACACACGCTACAAAACCGAAAACTGACTGCGGAACAGTATGTGTCATAGTTTCCTCGACATTTAAGACATACCACAGTGGCGAGTGGATAGCGCCAACAGCACTGAACAGGCACCGCAGCCCGTGTAGCTGCTGTAGCCATGCGTACATGTGTTGTAATGTTGACTTTGCACCTTCTACCGGGGGCCGCTGGGGGTGCCAGGTATAACTCTGAATCGCTGAAAAAAAAATTTTGCTTTTTTTTTTTTTGTCAGATCACTTTGTTGCATTTGTCATTTTTGGCAGTTGAACTGTTGTGCTGCTGTGAAACTCAACTAGAAAAATTATTGTTCTGTTATATTCCTTTGACTGGTGCTTCGATGAAGTGGATATAAAGTACCAGTGTTTATGTGCTTGTCGATGCCTCCTTTGCATGAGATTTGGTGTGACTAGGTGTATGTCAACAACTTTATCTTTGCCGCATTAGTTTTCGCAGTCTATACTTCTCTGCGGCTGGTTGCAAGTGCGTGGCCGCGGCGCACGCATAAAAAGTTGTGTTTGGTGACATTCCAATCTCGTTTCCTATTCGAAGGTAGTTCTTTATGCTGACGGTCACAGTTTTGTGTGCTGTCGTGGTCAAGAACTGCACACGCTAGGTGGCGACAGTAGCACCCAGTTTTTGGAGCTCTCTCAAACTGAATTTGATTGATAATGAGGGGCCTGTAATTATCTGTCGCATGCTTCAGGAAACGACGTGACATGTCATGACTAACAGGCCCCCAGCAATGCATTGCAGCAGAAAAATGCGAGCCAAGGTTCTTGTGTTAGTACCGCTTTAAAGAAGGCTTTGGAACAAGTCTGTGCCCAAGTAGTCAGTATTTATCTGGAGTCCTGCATTTTGGCAATCCTCATAATCTACTGAGTAGTTTTGGAACCTTACAAGCTTCAAAGTAATATGGATATCTAATGTATTTCTTTTTTTAGATTAACCGTTTAATGCCTGAGTCGTGAAACCACACAAGAAGAAAGTTGTTTTTCATTTTTAAGCTTTAACTATCAACTTTTATGATGCCTGAATCGTGAAGCCACACACAAAAAAAGTTGTTTTTCTTTTTTAAGCTTTAACTATCAACTTTTACCTAATTCTGCAAATAAATTGTCCCAAAGGAAACTTCAATGCATTCATCTATGTATCTTGCAGATCTGCAACAACCGGCACTTAATCCAGTAGGTGGCTCAATACGGATGTGTTCAAAGCCAAACCTTGAAGCGACAATTGATGTTTGTTTGTCAATCGTAACTTGTTCAAATGTAAATTTGAGTATTGTTTTTTCACAATGATCACGTGACATCGTGTCAGCGACCATGTGGGAACTCTAGACTTCGCCGCCTAAAGTAAGACTTTTCGGGAGTTGAAAATGTGCCATAAATGTGACAACGCCAAAATATTCGTCTAGCTCATCATGAGGCAGAGCCAGTCCTTTGTTAGGATTTTTTTTTTTTTTGCTTTGCAAAAAAGATTGCTCTGCTCAACAAATAAGCTCTGCTCAACCAATGAAGGTTTCACAAGAAAAAAAAATTTTTGAAATTTTCTTTGAGACTTCAGATAGCGTCATTAAAAGAAAGAGTGGCTTTTCAATGTGGAATTCCTTGCTGTTCCCGACAGTTTTTTGTTTCCAATACATTGCATGTTTTAGAGAGGCACTGGGATCATGTGCTGCATCTTTATTTTCATCCTCACTGCTTGATGAAGGCAAACTCTTGCTTGTGCGTGAGGATTAGCATTGATATACGGACAGCTATTGTTACTATTATCTTCAAGTGGCAAGCACGTGCGAAGCCCTATATTTTCATGAATTGAGTGGATGTCGGTCCTCTATTAATAAGTAAAATACAAACATGTCATTCCGGCATTCACAACTTGCTGCCGCAAATGCCTAATGTCGCGAATTTGTGACATCATAAGCGAGCATTGTGAAACAAAAAATGATCTTCAAAAGGTGGCATGTGTGCCACTTTTTGGATGTGTGCGCACCAACAAAATTTTATAAAAGGTATACAGATAAACAAACTTGCAGCTTACGCAAAAATAAGTTTGTTATATCCAAAAATTAGTTATAAAGATATATTTCTAAGACTTTTTTGTTTTTGTATTTCTAACACGTTTTTTGGGGGGGGGGGGGGGGAATGTCTTGAATACGCGGCAGCTTGCAATAAAGAGTGAAACTGACACTGAAGAGAAAACTAATCTCGGTTGTCATTTCGCAAATTACCTTTTGATTTATGATTTTACCAAGACAAATATTCTTGCTTTGAGAAGACACTTCATGAGCCTGAAAAGACTGAAAACAAAACACTGGGGTTGATGCAGTCTCATTATTAGGCAACATGGCCCAAAGACGAGTATGGGCTTTGAAATTCTGGACGTTGCATTGACATTCTGGCAGTGGGGTTTATGTGCAGTATGTTAGTCTTGTTACATGAGCTTTTTTTTATCCAAGAACCAAGATAGTAAAAGTAGTTACAGCAATTCTCAGAGGGCATCGCTCTAGGCTCAATGTTTCATTGTAGTGTTCATTTAAATACTAATATAAATGCCTAAAATTCTGTAATTCAGCACTGGAAGCACACCCAATGTTTAACCCAATTTTGTGCAGAGTGATTCTGGCGAGCCTGGACCAGCTGAACAGGCCTCAAGTCCTAATCTCGATGTGATAAAACACCCACTTCAACATCGTTGGAGCTTGTGGTTTTACAAGAATGATAAGAATCGAAGCTGGGAGGAGAACCTTCTAGAAATCACCTCCTTTGACACTGTAGAGGACTTCTGGGCACTTTTTAATCACCTGGAGGCAGCCAGCAAGCTTCCTCTTGGATGCGATTACTCCCTTTTCAAGGTAAACACACCAGTTCTTTCTGTTACAGTATAGTTTTTTGGCTTCTGGTATATTCTGTACATCCAGGCAAATGGAAATTTGCCATATTGTAGGTAGGTAGGAGGTAGCCACATAGCATATGTGGCCATGGGACGTTTGGATGACAATGAAAACAATCTTTTTTATTCATTACCATGCCTATTCATATTGAATCACCCATCATCAGTGATTTGAATAATTGATTTTTGCATGTCGGATTAGTTTCTCGTGCACCTAGCACCTCCTAGTGGTTAGTCCAGTCATTGAGCTTTCAGTCATTTTCAACTTGCATGCTTTGGCAACATAGTGATCTTTAACTGACCTTTGTGTGCATGCTTTGGCAACATAGTGATCTTTAACTGACCTTTGTGCGAACCTACGTATGTGTGTTGCGATAGTGTACTTGGCTGACCCACTTAGGGGAAATGCTCGTCACTCATGGGGATGCTTCAGCTTATAAGTTCTGTAATTAGACGGACTCTAGCTTGTCAAATACTAAATTATGGTTTCAGCTTAGAAATCTAGTGTAAGCAGTAATAATTGCCCAAACGTTATGCCAGCTATTCATTACACTCTAATCCAAAATTTGGCAAAGTTGGACTAACGGCAGTCGTTAAACCGACGGATGAACCGTTCGTCCAACAGGGACTAAATGCATGACAGTGCGTGTCTTGCGCAAACGCCCTTCAATTTAGGGAGCGACGCACAGGGCACCTGCGCCGCGATCGCCCTCTGTCGAAGCTGTACTGCTCGGCCCGGTCGGCTATCACAACAAGTTGTATCAGCTATACGCCACAGTGAAAACGAAGCACTATCAGACGAATAGAAGCTGCTACGAGAGGCAAGTTCAACACGCTGCAGTGCACACGGCATGCACCCTCGCGTTTCCAGCATTTTGGCTGGGGCTGGCTGAAAATAAGTGAAAGCCTCGATTCGAGCACGGACATTGCGGATAATTTGCTTCAATGTGTTGAATTAGTTGGAACTATGAAGAACACAGACAGCCGTAATAAAAATAAACTTTTTGTCAGTGGTCGTGTAGCCACACAGTCACTAGCTACAACTTCATAAGTGATATCTAGGAAAAGTAAGCTTCGTTCGTCATCGATATCAAGCTGGCCACCGGTGTGAGTGAATTGCCGGCATACGTGAAGGAAACGTCTCATACAATTTCTTTCACAGAAAACAATGTCTCCTGCATTGAAGCACGGGTAACGGTGTCTGATTTCTCCATACGACAATTGTTGTCAAACATCAAGCGTGAAGGCTAGGACGGGTACGAATAATTGTGCGGCCAGCAGTGCGCAGCGAGTGACTTGCCAGCATGATGAAAGAACTGAGCCTGTGAGCGGTCTTGTCACTATAAGTATGCATATATCTACATCACTCCGTAATACACCGCAAACAGTGGACACCTACCTATTGTTCATTTGTCTGTAAAAAAAATGTCACCAAAAATTCAACATGAGCCGCATGTTGTGATTGCCGTTGGTCGTTAAGCAGCACTCTTCGCAAGCCTAACGATGCCATTGGTAAGCCGACACGGTGGCAACGGTGGTGCGCTGGGCTGCTTCGCTGGCTTTCCTGCATAAGTGCCGCTGCTAGGTTTGTCATTGCGAACTCGTGCACCAGCACTCCGAACGCTGTTTTGGCCGACATGGTTGAATGAATGCCAGCTCATAATTCAACATCCCTCCAGTCAGAAAATATGAAGATTAGATGAATTGATATTAAGATCAGTGCACTTGAGTGTTACAAATTAGCCCACATAAGTTTTCTCTGACTACGCTGTCAATGTTAATTGTTTTTTACGCCGAGCAAAATTCTCGCCAAGACTACATGGAAGGTCAATATACTATGCTATATATATCCCATGGTTAGTTCTCTATAGTGTAGCGCAGGCGGTCAGTGTTTACGGTGTTTTACTTTGAAATAGTAGCGCGCAAGTAGATACGTCTAATATACTGCGTTCTTCAGTGCTGAATAAATTGGAATAACCATAAAATACAATCACGAGAGCAGGGTCGCTTTTTTTTTTTTTCGTCCAGACGGTTCAATTGTTAGTCCTACGGGAGCATTCTACGAGGACCAACATTTTAACGAAGTGGAGTAAGTGCTAGGGGGTAACAGTTGAACCCTTGCAGTTGCTTCGCAGCTAGTCCGAAATTGGTTCAAAATCTGTGTCGGTCCATTTAGTTGCCTAAAGGACCGATAGCATACCCCACTTTGTCCTTTTGGGCTTAGAGTGTAGAGCTGTTGTTTTAAATCGAAGAAGCATTATTCTACGAATACTTATTGCTGAAGTTTTGCTGTGTGTATAACGTGCGAAGGTGGCCTTTTCGGCCAGTTTCTAGCAGCTTTAGTTTTGCTTCTCTTGTAAAATCCGACAAGGTGCACCTGGTGTCGCTACTCTCTCCCATGGTGGTGGTGTCGCGCGTGCATGGGTGTGCAGCTTCGCTTGAAACTTTCTTGCAACTGCACCTGAAGTGAGTGACGAGCCAACGAGCTTTGGATTTGTAGACAGTGCAAGCTCTCACAGTGACAATGTTTTGTGTCAGTTGAAGGGGGCAGATGGGACCATTAAGGGGGCAGATGGGACCACAAGCTCCATAAGGGGGCAGATGGGACCAGTTTAAGGGGGCAGATGGGCAGATGGGACCAAAAAGTGACAAAAAAGTTCATTTTTAAAAATTGACATATTTGGTTTCTGCAAGTATTTTTCTAACTCTCTGCAAATTTTCACGCACCAGGAAGTAGTAATTTTTTTGTAATGTGATTTTAACTGTCCAGATTCTTGGTGCTGTTAACATGCAGAACCTGCAAAAAAATAGGGAACAGACTTTGAGGTTTCTTTATAATTTGCCAGCACCTTTGTCTAGAGCTCTCCTACTAATTTATGAGCGCCTTCATGAGGATTGCAAAACATGCACACCATGATTGTTGCTTTTTAAAGAAACTGTGTGTTTTCAGATTTTTCCATTTTTCTCAAAAAAGTAAATTTGTGACTATTCAATTTTGAGGCCTCAAGATCTCTGCAGCTTGGGCAGGTACAACAATAATTCTCCTTGCAGTGGAAAGCTGTATGTGTGTAGAATGCAAGTATGGGAGCAGAATTTAGAGCACATGCCTTTTTAATTAACTACTAATCAATATTGTAACACAATTCCAACTGCTTTTGAAAATGTATATTTCATTTTGCTGCAAAATAACCAATAAAGGCCTAAAAACAAAAACCTCTTCCATACTTTCACTCTATAGTCATTAGTCTATGTTGGCATATCCTAAATGTCACTTTTAATTAGGCACTTTTTCTTCTATGGTGGCCTTAAACAATAGGGGGCGAACTTAAGTTATCTCAGGAACAAAGTGAATTACAGGAAAACAATTGAATATTTCAAATCAGCAGGAAAAACTGTATAACCATGTGCAGTTTTATCAAGATCACTGAAGAAATAAACAAAAAATGTCTAAAACCAGTCTGCCCCCTTAAAGTGAGACATTGCAGCTGTTCAGGGGTTTTTTGTTTAAGGTCTCAAATGTTCTCCCCTGCAGCCCATGCTTAGATGCTGACCTTTGTGCGCAATCTTAGAGCTAGTCTGGTTAGGTGCAAAGTCCACGCGGCGCTAGGGTGTGTGATGTGCTATGGTTGGCTGCAAAGCTCTTCACGCCAAGGAGGCTGTCTGGAGCACATTTTGGCTACCTAAGAGCTGTGTGAGAGGGTTCACGACCTGGTATGAAACTTAAAGCTTGATTTTCTCTGCTTATAGTGAACTTACGATAGTAAAACATATGGAACTAAAGTTCTCAGAGTGCAGTTTGTCAATCTGAACTAAGTCATTGTTTCTTAGTGTCCCTTTAACACACTGCACACACTGGAACAAGCAAACATTTATGAAATATTTTATTTGCTTTTAAAGTGATCATCTCTGAGCATCAGGAGGGTAGCCCCATCGCAATGGACATTATCAGAATAAGTCAACACAGGTCCACTGTGTTTGCTAATATGCGTCCCACATACAGCCCAGCCCAACTTGGAATTCATTGTCGAGGCGATTGGATGATAATTTAATCATTATTTTCGTGTACCGGAAGTAATGGATCTGCCGCTAGAATGTTGCGAATGGCTGTCTTGCCATGACGTCGCACTGCCATTACATGTCACTGAGAAACTGTTTCCATGATATCAAAACCAAAAGTTTTTTTAAGGTAGCAGTGGTAAATATATATGTAATGCATTCTGAGGCACCATAATAACCAAGCAAAACTCCTGGGAAATTTCTGTTACCTGTCAATGTTGCTCGAGTGGTGCATCATGATCTCGGAGCCCTGCCGCGGTGGTCTAGTGGCTAAGGTACTCGGCTGCTGACCCGCAGGGCGCGGGTTCGAATCCCGGCTGCGGCGGCTAGCTTTCCGATGGAGGCGGAAATGTTGTAGGCTCGTGTGCTCAGATTTGGGAGCACGTTAAAGAACCCCAGGTGGTCAAAATTTCCGGAGCCCTCCACTACGGCGTCTCTCATAATCATATCGTGGTTTTGGGACGTTAAACCCCACAAATCAATCAATCAATCGTCATGATCTCGGAAGGCTGATTGGAGGGGTTTTTCTTGGAACTCGTTCTATGGCATGCCGGGGGGTGCAGCAGCTGTGCCAATTTGATAAGATTCCCCATTGCTGCACTGAGCTTTGCCAAAACCATGAAATTTGCTAAAATCGTGTCGCGCTGCGCCAAAATGCCCGACCAGCCTCAAAATGATGTCCGGTGTGCTGATTTCAGCGAGCAACGGAGGCCACATTGGCCACCTCTATTTTGTCATTAATCAAACCAAGCTCGCAGACCCTAACCCTAAGCCACGGTGCAACACCCCGCTGTGGTCGATGGATCGAGTCCCGCTGCGGCGGCTGCATGTTCGATAGAGGTGGAAATGCTGTAGGCCCGTGTGTTCAGATTTGGGAGCACATTAAGGGGTGACGCACCCTTCGAA